AATTATTTATGGTGACGATTTGTATATTTGAGATTATGAGTTATCTGCAATTATAAATTTTTGGTTGATTTGATTTATTAACGACCCGGAAGTTGGGGCATTACAAATGGTCTCAAAGCGTAGGGATTAGGTCTTACATGGGATCTGTTGGGTGATTAATAATTGATATTTGAGGTAAAAAAAATGGTTGTTTATATCAGAGTGCGTAGCGAAAGCACATTATCTGAAGAGGTTGTAGTTATTAAACTTTGGAGTATAAGAGATTGTCAATTTCGAGGACGAAATTTGTTTAAGGGGATAGATTGTGAAACCCCGAGCTTTTCGAAGGCAGTATGTACTTGAATTTCAGGGACGAAATTGTTTTAAAGGGGATAGGTTGTAGCCCCTGAAAAATGTTTTCTCTTTAAAACCTAATGTTTAAATTATTTTCTTAAAGTCCTCAAGTACTAGAATTATTTTCCAACTAGTGTTCATTTAATCCAACTAGTGTCCATTTAATGCCAACTAGTGTCTTTTCATAATCCAACTGGTGTCTTTTCATAATCCAACTAAGTGTCTATTAGTGGGCTTTAATGAACCAATAAATCCTAAACTTGCCCTTTTAATTCCTTGTTACACCAAGTTTGCCTACAAATTGAGCTCACCTCTCAATTTCTTTCTATGGTTCTTCCCATATCTCTTTCCATTTGTTATATAGATTTAGAGTTTAGATTAAGAATGCTTGAAGTGAGAGTAACCATTTTCATAAAGGAGGAGAGTTGTAGATTTTGTGAAACGTTACGTGCCTTATGTCTTAGAATTTGGAGATTCATGGAGAAAGATCGAGAATCGAGTGTTGGAGATGAAGGAGATTGATTTGAGGTAATTTGGGCGGTATACAATATGCTTCCTCTAAATCTCTTTACAAAGAGTTTATGCTAATTACTTTCAATTTGTAATCCTCTTGATTATTGTGATCAGTTGATAAATCCTATGAATCATTGTCTGATAACACGTTTGAGTACTCTGGTCATTTGACAAATTCTAGGAAGTTGTTCTGTGTAGTTAATGATGATTTGTCTGGCTAAATGATGTGGAAGTGCTCCGTACATGGATCGAGTGGACTTTGCCAATATGCTCAGTACCAATATCCCGGATAAGCGGTTGTGCTTGGGTGAGGGGGGTGAGGCCAGTCACTGGTCATGTACCGAGTAGGACCAGGTATTTGGTTCTGGATAAATTATCATATGTCAAGTTGAATTGTTTGTGGAATTTGGTAAATTGCTTGATTATCGAATCTAATCGGCTGTGTAATTGTTGGATCTCTGTTAATTTATTTTCTGTCTAAGCCTTGTTATTCCCTTTTTCCCGAGTCCAATACACAATCACAAATATAACATCAAGTAGTAGAGCAGGATACACAAAACAACAAATAAATAAGTGGTTACAAGTTAACTGTTAGTAAACTAGAAATCCCCCAAAGAGATTTCGTCCTCCCAACCACAAGAATCGGACGCGGATTATTCGGTATGCCCCCTCTTTTGCTGCTTTGTTGCAAAACTAACCTCGGATGCCTACCAACGGTTATATACTGCATAGCGCCAACCGTAGGGCCTCAAAAAGAGACGGTAAGATAGGGCCTTGCCCAAATGCTTCCTCACACCAAACCACCTAGGGTCCGAATACAACCACTCCGTTCAAGGGTTCCGAAAACCGCTTGCGCAAGACTTTAATTTCCAATTAGGGACGCATCCCAACAACCATATAACACATTTTCTCATCTTTCCATTACTCAAGTGCTCGAAAACCCAATACCCTCCCAATTAGGTTTCCCGTTGAGTTAAAAGTTTTAAGTCAAGGTTAGTCCAACTTACAAGATAATAATATCCACATAAACATGCATCCTTAAGATGAGAAAGATAAATAACATAACATAACACATAAAATATCTTGCCAAGATATGATCATAACACATTTTCATGAATTCCAAGACATAAAACATTCATACATAACAAATATTTCCAGATCTAATATCACATAAAGATTAAAATGAAAGGCTAGTTTAGATCCCTCACCGGACTCGGTCTTCCTATGATTCGTAGAGAATTTGATCTAGTTTCTAGAACATTTTTTGGAAATGGGTTTGCTTTTCCAGATTTTAAGTTATGTAAAAAACATTCAAGCGTTGTCCAGATTCTGTTCAAACCCGTCGATCGTTACAAAAATTTGATTTTCTTGCAAACCGCTTAATGTTTTTCAATGAAACCAATTTTATTTGAAATCTAACTCCTTAAGGAAATTTTTGACCTAAAATATTTTTTTTAATTTTTTTTATGGTGTATTAAAATATTTCCTACAACTTTCATGTCGAAAGTTTTGGCAAAAAACCATTACTTTTTAAAAAATCCCTATTATGACTCCTCGAACATGGTTGATGTTTCCTCCTGCCAGATTGAAAAGGGCATGCTGCTGGCTTTGGCTGTGGCATGGCATGCTGCTGGCCTTGGCCTTGGCATGGCATGCTGCTGGCTTTGGCTGGGCTGCCTTGGCTGTGGCATGGCATGCTGCTGGCCTTGGCCTTGGCATGGCATGCTGCTGGCTTTGGCTCGTCGCAAAACATGCCATGCCACGGCCTCGGCTGGCATGCCATGCCACGGCCTCGGCCCGCATGCCTTGCCACGGCGTTGCCCAGCATGCCATGCCGCCGCGTTGCCCGGCGTGCCATGCATTAGCCTTGGCCTTGGCATGGCATGCTGCTGGCCTTGGCCTTGGCCATGGCATGGCATGCTGCTGGCTCGCCGGGCACCATTGCATGCTGCTGGCCAAGGCCATGGCTGACACGCTGCTGGCAAGGCCGTGGCATGACATGCTGGCAAGGCGGGCATGGCACCATTCCGGCCTTGGCATGCTGGGCAGCGCTGTGGCATGGCGTGCCGGTCGAGGTCGGGGCGTGACATGTTGGCAAGGCTAAGACATGGCATGCCAAGGCCATTGGCCAGCAGCATGCCATGCCCCGGCCTTGGCAAGCTTGTCATGCCACGGCCTTGGCCAGCAGCATGCCATGGCCAGCAGCATGCCATGCCACGGCTTTGGCCAGCAGCATGCCATGACACGGCCTTGGCCAGCAGCATGCCATGCCTTGGCCTTGGCCAGTAGCAGGCCGAGGCCGCGGCTTGGCACGCGGGCCGAGGCTGTGGCATCGCCGCAAGAATAATTTTATACATTTTTATGGAATTTTTGAAAGTGGGCTGTAAAAACAGTTTCTAGGGTAGATGTCCAAAACAAGAAGATTTATAAGAAAAGGGTTCCACCCAATGGAAAGCTTTCGTTTCTTTTGTGAAGAAAACATGCTAACCAGCATATATTTAACTCAGAAAGTTTTCTTGAAGGTGTGTCCTTGGAAAGTTGAGAGATTGATATGGAGAAAAAGATGGTTTTGTACCGAGATGGGAAAATACAAAAGAGATAGAATCAATACTCAATTCTTAGCATTTTTAACACAAGTAACTAATAAATAACAGATCTGAAACATTATCTAGAACCCTAAGACATGTATTTGAAAAAGGGAAAATGAAAGAGAAGGTTGTGTTGTGGCTTACATGCTAAGCTTTGAACAAGATGGCTCTCTTCTCCCTTCCTCTTCCTCTCAAAATTCCTCTCTTGTTCTCTTTCCTCTCCTTAGGTCGAATGTGGAAGTGTGAGAGTGTTGCTTGGTGATATTCATCAATTCTTGGGAGTGGGTATCGGTTTTTAATCGTGACTCGATTAAGTCGACAGTAATTTACGCATAGCCTCAACGACCCATCCTTCTTCTTAACGAACAACACGGGTGCTCCCCATGGCGAAATACTTGGCCTAATGAATCCTCTCTCGAGCAATTCCTGTAGTTCTGTCTTCAATTCTCGTAATTCTGCTGGTGCCATACGATACGGGCCCCTGGATATTAGGTTGGTTCCAGGTTATAGCTCGATGCTCAAATCTACTTCCTGGGTTGGTGGCAATCCCGTTAACTCCGTAGGAAATACATCTGCATATTCACATACTATGCGCGAAAGTTCTAATTCTCCTTGGCCTTCCTCATTCAAAATCAGACTTGCTTTCCTACCCGCAATTTGATCGCACCACTGCGTCCTATGTTTTGTTGAAGCCATGGGGCCTTGTCTATCCCCCTTAAACTGGAAACGAGTTCCATCCAGTGTGTGAGCTACCACTTTCCTCTGATGACAGTTGATCACTGCTCGGTGGGCAAACAACCAGTCCATGCCCAAAATAATATCGAAGTCCGACATTTTCATGACACGAAGGTCGCACGTTAAGTGTAGGTTCGACATTCCTATATTACAGTCCTTACAGATCAATCCTATTCGAACGCATCCTCCCATAGGTGACATTACATTTAAGGCAGTTTCTAAGGGTTCACATACAAGTCCTAATGACTTAACATAAGCAGAGGATATAAAGAAATGTGATGCACCAGTATCAAATAAGACAAGCACCCAAGAATTGTATAGTACTAAATTACCCTCAATTACAGACTGGTCCGTGTTGGTTTCTGGGGAGGTTCCGTGCGTTGTTGTTGGTTCCGGTATAGTCATTAGCGCGCGTGTCCACCATTCTCCTCATGGCACGTGGTGAGTTGGTTTCCAGTTTTAGAAAATCTTACTACCAAGATTTGAAATGAAGGTTCAGTTTCCTTAGGGTGTACTAAAACAAGTAAACAGCCAATAACATAGATCAACACATCATTCGTATATTCTAATAGGCATCATTCCAAAAATCAATAATCTTCCACCGACTGCCCCAGAAACCAACGCGGACCCGTCCCCACAGGGGCTGACATTCCCAATAATCCAGGACATCAAATTTTGGAGGGATTAGGGCAAGTAAGGAACAATCGGCAGAATAAGAGCACTCGACTCTTTTCTGTGTTTCGAAAGCAAAGGCCCCCAAAGTTCACTGGTGTGCCGGACCAAAAGGTAGCTAAAAACTGGCTTCAGCAGATAGAGAAAATGCTAGACAACATGGGGATAACCAAGGCCGCTGATAGAATAGCTTTGGCAGTATTCGAGCTTGATAATGAGGCTGACCACTGGTGGGAGTTAATCAAGAACACTCGTGACGTAGCGAGCCTATCATGGAACCAGTTCGGGGAACTGTTCCTAAATAAATATTTTCCAAATACGGTCTATCGAGAGCGAGTCAAGGAATTCCAAAACCTGGAACAAGGAAACATGACCGTGACCCAGTATGCTGCAAAATTTGAAGAACTAGCCAGTTACGCAACTAGATTTGTAGCAAGTGATGAAGATAAGGCAAGGATGTTCGAGTGGGGGTTGGACCTTACAATCAGGGGAAGTGTTCTTCCGCAACGACTCCCCACATTTGCTGAGGTGCTGGATACGGCGTTAGAGTCTGAGAGGGAAGTAACAGACGCTAGAAAGGCTTGGAACAAGAGAAGAGGGAATCAGACGTCTTTTGGACCTCAGAGGAACCAAAAAGGAAACATGACGCCAAAGCCCTACTCTAGACCACAACCATAACAACAACAGATCCAGAGAGGAGGCTATCAACAAAGGCCGACGGGACAAATCCAGTGCTTTCATTGCCAACAATTAGGGCACAAAAAGAGCAAATGCCCCCAAATCCCTCCATCTAGGTACTAAGGAGGAGGTTCCGGAGCAAATGCCCAGGCATTAGGTGGGCGGAAGCCTTGGATGAACAAGACAGGATCGACTGGACTGCTGCACCAGAAGAATGGGGGAACTCAAAAACCAAGACCAGTGGCAACCAGAAGACAACCGGCAGAGTCTTTGCCTTGCAAGAGGAAGAAGCAGACCCGTCTGTTATTGAGGGTAATCTAGTATTATACAATTCTTGGGTGCATGTTTTATTTGATATTGGTGCATCACATTCCTTTATATCCTCTGCTTGTGCTCAGTCATTAGGACTTGTATGTGAACCCTTAGAAACTACCTTAAATCTAATGTCACCTATAGGAGGATGCGTTCGGATAGGATTGATCTGTAAGGACTATAAGATAGGAATGTCGAACCTACACTTAACGTGCGACCTTTGTGTCATGGAAATGTTGGACTTCGATATCATTTTGGGCATGGACTGGTTGTCTGCCAACCGAGCAGTTATCAACTGTCATCAGAGGAAAGTGGTAGCTAACTCACTGGATGGAACTCGTTTCCAGTTTAAGGGGGATAGACAAGACCCCATGGCTTCAACAAAACATAGGACGCAGTGGTGCGATCAAATTGCAGGTAGGATAGCAAGTCTGATTTTGAATGAGGAAGGCCAAGGAGAATTAGAACTTCCTCGCATAGTATGTGAATATGCAGATGTATTTCCTACGGAGTTAACGGGATTGCCACCAACCCGGGAAGTAGATTTGAGCATCGAGCTACAACCTGGAACCACCACAATATCCATGGCCCCGTATCATATGGCACCAGCAGAATTACGAGAATTGAAGACGTAACTACAGGAATTGCTCAAGAGAGGATTCATTAGGCCAAGTATTTTGCCATGGGCAACATCCGTGTTGTTCGTTAAGAAGAAGGATGGGTTGTTGAGGCTATGCATAGATTACCGTCGACTTAATCGAGTCACGATTAAAAACCGATACCCACTCCCAAGAATTGATGACCTTTTCGACCAACTTTGAGGCTCAGGGTGCTATTCAAAGATCGATCTTAGGTTAGGTTACCATCAACTACGAGTCAAGGAGGAGGACATACCAAAAACTATCTTCCGTATTAGATATGGCCACTATGAGTTTGTAGTAATGCCCTTCGTACTAACCAATGCACCGGCAGTATTCATGAGCCAAATGAATAAGATCTTTAGATCGTACCTCGATCAGTTTGTGGTAGTATTTATTGATGACATCTTGGTATATTCAAGATCTGAAGAAGAGCATGAGCAACATTTAAGGACTGTCCTTCAAGTTCTTAGGGATAATCGGTTTTATGCCAAGGCAAGCAAATGTGAGTTCTGGTTGAATGAAGTAAAATTCTTAGGGCATGTAGTATCAGAGAATGGGATTGCGGTGGATCCAAACAAGGTGGAGGCAGTATTGGACTGGAAACAACCAAAAACTGTGTCAGAAATTCGCAGTTTCTTAGGATTGGCCGGTTATTACCGGAGGTTCATCCAAGATTTCTCCAAACTAGCCAAACCAATGACTCGTTTGACGCAAAAAGGAGTAAAGTATGAGAGGGACGAAGCTTGCGAAAAATCCTTTCAAGAGTTAAAGAAGAGGTTAACTAGTGCACCAATTTTGACCATCCTAGAACGAGAAGTGAGGTATTCTGTGTATTGCGATGCGTCTAAAGAAGGGTTAGGGTGTATGCTCATGCAGAATGGAAAGGTAGTCGCGTATGGATCCAGGTAGTTGAAACCTCATGAGCGTTACTACCCAACACATGACCTGGAGTTAGCAGCCGTAGTTTTTGCCCTAAAGCAAAGGCGACATTACCTATATGGGGAACAATTCGAGATTTTCATAGATCACAAGAGTTTGAAGTATCTATTTACACGGAAGGACCTCAACTTGAGACAGAGACGATGGATGGAGTATCTTGAGGATTTCCATTTCACTCTCTCATATCATTCTGGTAAAGCCAATGTAGTAGCAGATTCTCTCAGTCGTAAGAGCAGAGGTATGATGGCTAGGATCTCCATCAAAGAGTGGGATATGGTTAAGACACTCAATGAGTTCAGGATCCAAATTGAATCTCAAGATGCAAACGCATATCTTAGTGCACAGAAGGTGATGCCTAAGTTGATGAATGAGATCATGGAGGCCCAGAAGCACAATCAAGAGGTAGCCTATATCAAGGGACGTCTGGAATCAGGAGAACCCAAGCTCAACTGGGAAATTTACCCCGATGGGAGTTTAAGATACCGAGGTAGATTGTTTGTACTAGGTGACGAATTACTTCGAGGAAAGGTACTTAAGGAATGTCATCATTCTGCATTTGTAGTACATCCAGGAAGGACTAAAATGTACCAAGATTTAAAGAGACAGTATTGGTGGAATGGAATTAAGAAGGAGGTGGCTAAATTCGTGGCAAAATGTCTAACATGCCAACAAGTGAAGACGGAGCATCAAAAACCAGGGGGCATGCTGCAACCTCTACCAATAGCCGAATGGAAATGGGAGTACGTGACGATGGATTTTGTGTCAGGGTTGCCTAAGTCGCCTAGAGGGCGCGATGCTATTTGGGTAATAGTGGATCGTCTCACCAAGTCAGTATATTTCTTACCCTATAGGATGACTGACACTTTAGAGTCTATGTGCAGGCTCTACATTGGAGAGATCATTCGACTACATGGAATTCCAGTATCTATTGTGTCAGACCATGATCCTCGGTTCACCTCTCGATTCTGGGGAAGCTTGCAGGAAGCTCTTGGTACTGAGTTATGTTTTAGCACCGCCTTTCATACGCAGACGGATGGACAATCTGAACGCACCATCCAGACACTCGAAGATATGTTGAGAGCCTGTGCACTGGATTTTCAAGGAAGCTGGGAATGACAGCTACCCCTAACTGAGTTTGCCTATAACAATAGCTTCCAAGCTAGCATTGGTATGGCACCCTTTGAAGCATTATATGGACGACCATGTAGATCACTGATTTGTTAGGCGGAAGTGGGAGATGCAAATCTGATAGGACCCAAACTTGTTCTAGAAACTACTAAGAAGGTGAAATTGATCCGACAACGGTTAAAGACTGCTCAAGACCGTCAGAAGAACTATGCGGATAGGAGGAGAAGGCCATTGATATTTGAAGTAGGCATTCACGTCTTCCTAAAGGTGCAACCTAGGCATGGAGTAGTATGTTTCGAGAAAAAAGGAAAACTGTCACCACGATATATTGGGCCTTTTGAGGTATTGGAAAGAGTGGGTGAAGTAGCATATAGACTAGCTCTACCTCCGCAGTTAGCAGGGATACATGACGCCTTCCATGTATCTATGTTGAGAAAATACATCGCCGACCCATCACACGTCCTCAAATGGGACGAAATCAGTCTTGACAAAGACGCTACATTTAAAGAAGGACCGGTAGCAATACAGGATAGCCGAGAGAAGAACCTTAGACGCAAAATGGTTCACTTGGTAAAAGTGATATGGCGTCATCGGGGAATTGAGAAATCTACTTGGGAACGCCAGGATTCGGTGAAGGCAAACTACCCCGAGCTTTTCGAAGGCAGTATGTAGTTGAATTTTGGGGACGAAATTGTTTTAAGGGGGAAAGCTTTTCGAAGGCAGTATGTAGTTGAATTTCGGGGACGAAATTGTTTTAAGGGGGATAGGTTGTGAAGCCCTGAAAAATGTTTTCTCTTTAAAACCAAAAAAAAAGGTTTTAATTATTTGCTTGAAACCCCTCAGTTATGAGAATTATTTCGAATCTTGTTGATTAATATTGTTTTTGTTGTTTTATCAAAACAGGAATATCCTTAATGGTGGTCATTCATATTCCAACTAGTATCCATTCATAGTCTAACTAGTGTTCATTTAATTCTAGTTAGTGTTTATTTAATTCTAGTTAGTGTTCATTTAATATCAATTAGCGTTTAGTGTTCATTTAATATCAATTAGTGTTCATTTAAATCTCAAAGTAGTGGTTCATTCATAACCTAACTAGTGGGCTAGGGTCCTTTCATTTTTCAAGTAGTGGTTCCTTCATATCCTAACTATTAGGCTATAATGACAACCTTTCAATACCAACTACACCACGGTTGCCTATAAATATCACCAAGCAACACTCTCACACTTCCACATTCGACCTAAGGAGAGGAAAGAGAACAAGAGAGGAATTTTGAGAGGAAGAGGAAGGGAGAAGAGAGCCATCTTGTTCAAAGCTTAGCATGTAAGCCACAACACAACCTTCTCTTTCATTTTTCCTTTTTCAAATACATGTCTTAGAGTTCTAGATAATGTTTTAGATCTGTTATTTATTAGTTACTTGTGTTAAAAATGCTAAAAGTTGAGTATTGATTCTATCCCTTTTGTATTTTCCCATCTCGGTACAAAACCATCTTTTTCTCCATATCAATCTCTCAACTTTCCAAGGACACACCTTCAAGAAAACTTTCTGAGTTAAATATATGCTGGTTAGCATGTTTTCTTCACAAAAGAAAGGAAAATTTTCCTTTGGGTGGAACCCTTTTCTTATAAATCTTCTTGTTTTGGACATCTACCCTAGAAACTGTTTTTACAGCCCACTTTCAAAAATTCCAGAAAAATGTATAAAATTATTCTTGACCTTTATTTTAGGTCAAAATTTTCCTTAAGGAGTTATATTTCAAATAAAATTGGTTTCATTGAAAAACATTAAGCGGTTTGCAAGAAAATCAAATTTTCGTAACGATCGATGGGTCTGGACAGAATCTGGACAGCGCTGGAATGTTTTCTAAATAACTTAAAATCTGAAAAAGCAAACCCATTTCTGAAAAATATTATAGAAACTAGATCAAATTCTCTACGAATCATAGGAACACCGAGTCCAGTGAAGGATCTAAACTAGCCTTTCATTTTAATCTTTATGTGATATTAAATCTGGAAATATTTGTTATGTATGGATGCTTTATGTCCTAGTATTCATGAAAATGTGTTATGATCATATCTTGGCAAGATATTTTATGTGTTATGTTATGTTATTTATCTTTCTCGTCTTAAGGATGCATGTTTATGTGGATATTATTATCTTGTAAGTTGGACTAACCTTGACTTAAATCTTTTAACTCATCGAGAAACCTAATTGGGAGGGTATTTGGTTTTCGAGCACTTGAGTAATGGAAAGATGAGAAAATGTGTTATATGGTTGTTGGGATGCGTCCCTAATTGGAAGTTAAAGTCTTGTGAAAATTTGATTTTCTTGCAAACCGCTTAATGTTTTTCAATGAAACCAATTTTATTTGAAAGCTAACTCATTAAGGAAAATTTTGACCTAAAATAGAGGTCAAGAATAATTTTATACATTTTTCTGGAATTTTTGAAAGTGGGCTGTAAAAATAGTTTCTAGGGTAGATGTCCAAACCAAGAAGATTTATAAGAAAGGGTTCCACCCAAAGGAAAGTTTTCGTTTCTTTTGTGAAGAAAACATGCTAACCAGCATATGTTTAACTCATAAAGTTTGCTTGAAGGTGTGTCCTTGGAAAGTTGAGAGATTGATATGGAGAAAAAGATGGTTTTGTACCGAGATGGGAAAATACAAAAGAGATAGAATCAATACTCAACTCTTAGCATTTTTAAAACAAGTAACTAATAAATAACAGATCTGAAACATTATCTAGAACCCTAAGACATCTATTTGAAAAGGGGAAAATGAAAGAGAAGGTTGTGTTGTGGCTTACATGCTAAGCTTTGAACAAGATGGCTCTCTTCTCCCTTCCTCTTCCTCTCAAAATTCCTCTCTTGTTCTCTTTCCTCTCCATCGGTCGAATGTGGAAGTGTGAGAGTGTTGCTTGGTG